GAAGGGAATTGTAAAAAAATCCCCATTGACATCAATCGCGTTTCTTTGCCATCCTTTTCTTCACTTTATTTTTTTCACAGAAACCGAAAAAAACAACTTTGAGAAAGTCTTCATGAAAGGTTACTAAAAATGAATTTGAAAACCTTGGCTGTCAAAATTATCTTGCCAAATTTTGCACATCAGTCCCTGAAGAGAATAAAGGGCCATGAAAAATCATTGCTACGTAAGTTTCAGGAAAGAAATCAATGCTTTGGTCCTGTATCATTAAATAACAGTTGGCAGCGCCTCCCCCAAGATAAAAATAGGCTTTGTAAACGCAATCTGACGATTATTTCAGACATCGATGATTGCCTCAATGTCAGCTGCAAACACGGCGGTTCCTGCATAGATGAAATAAACAATTTCTCCTGTTCTTGCCCTGCTGGGTATACTGGAATATGGTGTGAAACCGGTAAGGAAGAGAATTTACTTGTGCAAGAAACAAAAACAAAAAGCAAAAAACAAATGCAAGCGGGCCACGTAATGAGGAGATGTACAGCATGCTCTTATTCTCTTTTTTTAAGGTTATTAAGAGGACTTCTTTGGGTCTTCCTCTGAGCCATTGTGCCTATCTCTCTCTGTCTGTCTTTCTGTCTGTCTGTACGTCTGTCTTTGCGTCTGTCTGTTGTCTGTCTGTTGTCTTCTTGTTGTCTGTCTGTCTGTTCGTTTGTCTGTCTGTTGTCTGTCTGTTGTCTGTCTGTTCGTTTGTCTGTCTGATGTCTGTCTGTTGTCTGTCTGTTCGTTTGTCTGTCTGTTGTCTGTCTGTTGTCTGTCCGTTTGTCTCTCCGTTTGTTTGTCTGTTGTCTGTCCGTTTGTCTGTCTGTTGTCAGTCTATTGTCTGTCTGTTGTTTGTCTGTTGTCTCTCTGTTGTCTGTCTGTTGTCTGTCCGTCCGTTTGTCTATGTGTCCGTCTGTTTGTTAGTCTGTCAGTTTGCTTTCCTCCCTCTTGCTCTCCACTTTCGACCTGTCTCCGCTTCTCTGGTTCTCTCTTTCGTGTTCACTACAAAACCATTCTGTTGTTCAAGTTGACTACATCTTAATTCGGTGCTTTTGTTTTACCATTTAAGACATTAATGAATGTGTCTCCAATAAATGCGCGAATGGTTCAACCTGTCAGGATGATGTCAATCAATACACCTGCTTGTGTCATGAAGGGTTTACAGGGCATTTCTGCGAAAATGGTAACATTTTTTTTCATAATAGTACATTTATGGTGCAATTTATTCTAGACAGATTATTTGCCTAAGTAGGTGGTCGTCGCTTTCATCTATTGACGCCCAATCTCTCTATTCTATTAAACAGAAGTACCGCCGTAAGATTTATGATATGACTAACACCTTTTGCAGGTTATTACCACAAAATATGCTTTCGAGAACCCAGGTATCAGGTTCATTAACATTATAATGCTTTAATTTTAACGAGTCGTCTTTTATTTGCGTTGCTCACAAGTTCTTAGGCATTTTTTCATATTCACAAAGTTATATTTACAGTTACAGGCAGTCATTTACACTATAGAGCATTCTGTAGCGCTAATGTACAAACAGTAACGCCGTTCTTTCGTTCAATAAGTAAGCAATTGTATCGTTATGAAAATGTAGAAATGCTGAAAGAATTTTAAAATAACAAAATTAATGACGAGTCGTGAAAGTAACTTAGTTTTAATGCCAACGAACCTGATACCTGCGTTATTGAAAGAATATTCTTCCGTCAGGATCAGCAAAAAATGTAACGGTGATGAGTGCATTTACTATAATTTCAACCATTATGTACCATTGAGATGCTTAGGTAGTATCAAGATATAATGGCGAGATAATGGTAATTATATTAAATATATTTTCACAAACAAATTAAACGTCTNTACCAATTGAGCTAACAAGCCAACTGGGAGCAGGCCATCAAATTAATTCGACATAAACCCGTAGATGATAAATCAAACAACAAACATATGAAATACATATATATGAACTGCGGTTATGAAACGTATATGTGCACGATCCTTCGCAGTAAAGCACTATTTAAGCAATAGTGAAAATCAGACCTGAAAAAAATTTTTTTCAGGTCTGATTTTCACTATTGCTTAAATAGTGCTTTACTGCGAAGGATCGTGCACATATACGTTTCATAACCGCAGTACATATATATGTATTTCATATGTTTGTTGTTTAATCAATTAATCAATTGGTTGATTCGCTGGCTCAGTTATTCAATCAGTCAGTCAACTGATATGTCGATAGTTAACCATCAGCTGGCGTCGTTGTTTGAAATGTCTCGTGGTATTGCTAAACGTCCAGGCACAAATGAGGACCATGAGACTTTGGCAAACAAATTTAATAAGTATTTTACTTCAGTAGGAGAACTTACTGCAAAAAAAGCGAACCTGATAACAAGAGAACACGGTTTGGATGAGGATAAAGACTTCGGTCTTAGGGAAGAAGGTATTGGCACTGGCTTGCATGCTGAACCAGAAGAATTTGAGTTTCAAGAGGTAAAAGAAATTGATGTAAAGTCTGTCATTAAGAGTTTAGCTACCAGCAAAGCACCAGGATTTGATAAAATCTCTGCGCGAGTCCTGAAAGACAGTTGTGAGAGCATTGCACCTGTGATTTCCAGACTGGCGAATAACTCGTTTAATGTGGCTGCGTTTCCTAAAGTATGGAAAATTGCTGAGGTTATACCTATACCCAAAGAAGGGAACCCAGAAGAACCAGCCAACAACAGGCCGATTTGACTGTTACCCATCCTATCGAAAGTAAGTGAGAGACTGGCACACAAGCAGTTTGTGGAATTTTTGACAAAATATGATAAACTGACGAATTATCAAAGTGGCAACAGGAAAATGTATTCGACAGAAACTCCCCTCGTAAATGTTACAGATAACATTTTGAAAGCAATTGATGAAAAAGCAGCGTCATTATTAGTACTGCTTGATATGTCAAAAGCTTTTGACAGCCTTAATCATAATCTGTTATTAAGAAAACTACGGAAACTGGGTCTCAACACTTCTGCAGCTTCTTGGTTTAGTAGCTATCTATCCAGTAGATATCAGAGAGTACGATATGAAGATTCAGTCTCAGAATTGTTACCTTTAACAAACGGAGTACCTCAGGGGTCAATCTTGGGTCCTGTGCTTTTT